CGTGACAAACAGAGGCTGCAGTGAGTTGCACCAATGAAATAACATTTTTGCTACTACAAGCGTTGTAGCTACATCTAGGCTGAAGCTTGGCGGTCAGACCAAGCCCCCGTGTTGTGAATAGAGCTCTTCTAGCAAAACTTCTCAGCTTAAACAAAGTCTCTGTTTTTTTCTGTCATCTAAACTGTGTCTGAGCGTGGCTGGGACACCTGCATTACAACGCAGATCCCTCAGCACAGTCAATTTGAATATGTGCCCTTAGAGAGCTGATTTCTTCCCCCTGGCCTTTTGCTGGATCTGCTGGAGCACTTCCCCTTTGAGATGTTCCATGTGGTGGCTGGAAGCTGTGCGTGGCCGCTAAGCAAAATTAGCTCTGTAATGATTGTGTTTGGTTTTAATACCAACTGTATTATGGCTTCTTTTAATTCTATTTAATTACATGTTTAATGAAAGATAAAATAAATGTAAAAATGTTGACAATACTGCTCACTACAGCCAACCACTTCATTATTATTTAATCATCATTTTAATGACATATGAATGTGTATGTACTGTCAGAGAACAGTGACTTGCATGAAAGTTGTGTTTCACTGATGGCAATTTGAATTCAGACTGTGGGATTGCAAAGTGAAATAAAGTGCTTTCAAGCCAGAGAGTGCACAAATCACTCCTCCAGCCACCAGCGTGCGTCTCCTCATTGTTATTCCAGTTGCTGAGGACTGGTATCCACATGCTGCCCAACACCTCTCTGCAAAGAAGTACAGGATCCTCTCTGTGCTAAATGCCTGCAGGAGCAGAAGATGCTCCATACTACCTTGGAGCAGTTCATTCACAAAATGATTATTGTTGCCTGTCTTCTATTGCATTATACATATTTTATACTGCAAGAGAGTTTGAGTTGGTTCCAAAAGCATCTCGGCTGTGAAAATATGATCTGAAACGCTCTGCAGCTGCCGAGTGTCTAAAGCTTTCCTTCCTGAATGGGAGGCAGGCAAACGTACGGGGAAAAATGTGCAGGCAAAGAGTCTTGTTCTGCTAAGCAGGAGCAATGGGGTAGCAATTGTCACCGTGATAGGGCCATCTCAAAGTAATCCGTGTAAATACTCAGCCCTATAAATGGAACTGTCCACTAGTTGAATGCTAATAATCCTGGTATTAAGTACAAACTCTACGCACATGTACCATTAAGTGCAAAATTCAAAGCAGCATTGAGACAGCCCAGTGGTCTGATCCAGAGCGAGCCAACAAACCCACGTACGGGTTTCATTCTGCACTCCACGGCTGAATCCTGCACTGCTTCCTTGTGCAAATCTACCCAGTGCAGAAACAGAACTTCGAGATCCAAGCACATACTTTTAAGCACTGGAAATCAATTATAAAAATTTCATAAATATTTGGGATATCAGTTGTTATTGAAGGTTTTCATTTTGGTTTGGGGGGGGAACTCTGACTTTTGTTCATTTGTGAAACGAATGAAAAGCCATCACTGAGTCAGCCTCACAAAAAACCCTAATTATAAACTAAGTAATGACTTGAGCATGTGGAAAAAACATTTCTTGCTCAACAGCTCCTTCTACTGCTCACACGTAGCGTGAAGCTGTCAAGGCAGAATTTGTTCTCATGCATTGGCTACAGAAGCAAATAATCTGCTAATACAAACGTATTCATGGACTATTTGGTGTTATACTACACAGGAATTGGGTATATATTGCCTCATATGGAGTGAGATGATAAATTGTTTTGGGTCCAAGAGGAAAAAAGCAGCATACAACTTTCAAAGAATCACAGAATCACAGGATGGTCGGGGTTGGAAGGGCCCTCTGTGGGTCACCCAGCCCAACCCCCTGCCCAAGCAGGGTCACCCACAGCAGGCTGCACAGCACCGCATCCAGGCGGGGCTGGAATATCTCCAGAGAAGGAGACTCCACAGCCTCCCTGGGCAGCCTGGGCCAGGGCTCCGTCACCCTCAGAGGGAAGAAGTTCTTCCTCATGTTCAGCTGGAACTTCCTCTGCTTCAGTTTGTGCGCGTTGCCCCTTTTTCTGTCACTGGGCACTACTGAAAAGAGCTTGGCCCCATCCTCCTGACACCCACCCTGCAGATATTTGTAAGTGTATATTAGGTCCCCTCGCAGCCTTCTCTTCCCCAGGCTGAACAAGCCCAGCTCCCTCAGCCTCTCCTCGTAGGAGAGATGTTCCAGTCCCCTCACCATCCTCGTAGCCTTCCACTCTCCAGCTGGACTCTTTCATTCATAGGCAATTTTCATCATACCCAGAATTAAAAAACAGAGTAAGATAATGGCAAAAACACTCACTTTTTGCTAATATGCACAATACCAAAACTGTTAGCATTATCATTTCTTGCTTATAATACAAACCCAATATTTTTGATTGTAAGAAGCCTCATTTTGCAAATATAAGGATAAGTTAAATAATAATAACAATTAAAGATTATTTCATTTACTCTAGTTGCAAACTGAATTTACTGTTATTTTACCCTGGGGATGAACACTGAAGATACGACACTGAATGGGTCATCAGCATTACTGGACAATTTTAGTAACATGAAGCATTTAGTTTGATGGAAATTTCCTTGTAAAAATACTACCAAAATCTGTAAAACTTCTATTCTATAATATTCTCTGGGATGGTAAAATGTAGAGTATGCTTCTGTTATTATTTACGGTATTCTGCTGCCTATTCAAAAGGTCTTCTCAGGATTTCCAGATTCAAACAGTGTTATTAGCATAAATCAGAAGTGCACACGAATGTGGCTTACTGCAGGTTAGTCCTTTCATTGCAGGTCAGAACACTGAAATTTATATCGAGAAATTCCCAGAAGCCTGCAGAGCCACCTCCCTTTTCTTTATGTTAATATATAAAATCATAATACGAAAAAATACTACCAATGAGAACTATAAAACCGTCTTTTTGCATGTCAGGAATAAAATTGCAATGCAGTAAAACCTCTCTTGCTTTTATTTTCAGATGTTTTAAAGAAACAAATCCCAAAATATTCAGGATGCTCTTTGGCCATGACAGACACAGCTCTCCAGAGGAATAACAATATAGCAATATTATAAACTCCTTTCTACAGTAGCTTTGATAACAGGTAAATAAAGTTTTAGTTTTCCTGCCAATTATTTTTATCCTCTCTTTCGATCTCAGTTGATAGAAACAACACTTTCTGCTGCTGTTTCCAGAATTTTATGTTGCAGCAAATGTCAAGCATCGCAAGTAAATTCTGCCTTCTCCCTGGTAAACCCATGAGAACTCTAGTTATAGGAATTTTGCTCATCTTGCATCTCCATTGAAGAGGAACATTTGCAGATGTGGAATGAAAATGGCAATTTTCCACACAAGTTGTTCTTTTCTGTTTTCCATGATTCACAATTCCCGTTCCTCGTTATAGTACATCTTTGTG